AAAAACAAATCTAAACAAAAAGCCTGATACAAAAGAATTTTAGAAAGTGTACACATTGCTGGCATTAGGTTCGTATATCCACATAGTTGTGCAACCATTACACCATCCACCTCCAGAATTCTTTCCTCTTCCCAAACGGCAACTTTGTACACATTAAAAACTATCTCCCCACTCCTTGTCCAGCCTGTGGCAACCACCATTCTGCTTCCTGGTTTGTTTGTTTGTTTGTTTGTTTTGGAGTTTTTTTGTTTTTGTTTTTGTTGTTCTGAGCATCAAACTCAGGGACTAGTCTGAACAAGTGGGCCAATGTAACAATGTTCTCTGGGGCCAGGCTCTTTGTGCAGGGTCACCTCCCTGTGTCCTGTCTGGTTTTTACCACTGGGCTACATCCCCAGCCTTGCTTCTAATGTTGAATTTTCAATCCTTCCAAGGATACTGAGACCTAATTGCCCAGCATCATATAAGGCTTTAGAAGGATGGAGGAGATATATGAGATCTGATTGCTGCCTGTTATGGTTTAGATATTAGGTGTCCCAAAAGCTCATGTGTGAAACAATGCAACATTTAGAAGTGAAATGATTGAGTTATAAGAACCTTGGCCTAAGTCGTGCATTAATCCCTAGGTAGTGGGTAGTGACTGTAGGCAGGTAGAGTGTGGCTGGAGTATGTGGGCCCTGGGGATGTGCATTTGGGGTGTATGTTTGTTCTTGTCAAGAGGAGTGCTCTCTCTTCTTCCTAGTGTCACGTTCCCAGATGCTTTCCTCCCCCACACACTTCTACCATGATGTTCTGCCTTACCTGGAGCCCCAAGGAACAAAGTCAGTCATCTATGACTAAGACCTCTGAAACCACGTGCCTCAAAATGAATTTTCCTTCCTCTAATTGTTCTTCTCAGGTCTTTTGGTCACAGCAATGAAATGGTGGGCTAAAATATTGCTCTGAGATCATTACAGTGGAGCTGTGAAGGCAGGACTAGCTTCTAGGAAACAATGTGCCAGGAGTCTGATACTGAGAGGACAAGAGAAATTTAGACAAAGGAGAGACCCTTATAAGATGGTGTAGCCTAAGAAGTCTTCTGGGACTCAAAGAGCTAGTAGGAGATCTGGTTGGACAGAGAAAAAGAGTCTGAATTGATTAAATCATAAATCCAGGCAGGCAGGCTGGGTCATTCCAAGGAGATCCAACCAAAACCAAAACACAAAAGCATTCTGATAGTTTCTCAGGGAACACAGCAATAAACCCTACATCTGTAAATCAGACTTCTGCTTGTCCCCAAAAGCCACACATACACGGATAGTAATTTACTCTTTTTCCATTGCAAAATAGACACAACATAAAATAATTTAATGCTGGGGGAGGATGTTGCTCTTTATAATTATCTCAGGAAATAGAAACAGCAGCTCTTTTGTGAAAGTCGGTCTTTTTCCATTGGCAAAAGGAGTTCATAAAAACTTCAAAACTTGTGTGGAATGTCTGATCACTAGGGTCAGGTCACATCAACCCAGACTACAGATGAACTCCTGGAATCATAGCAAGATAAGTTTGCAGATGTCCATTCCAGCCAGTCACACTAGTGCTTTAAACAAAAAAGAGGGACTCCTAATCCCACCCTGTCAGCTCTTTGAACAAGTGGGCCAATGTAGCAAAGTTCTCTGGGGCCAGGCTGTTTGTGCAGGGTCACCTCCTTGTGTCCTGTCTGCTCTGCTCTCTTCTCATCCAAGCATAAGCTTCACCTAGGGACCCTGGTGGGTGAGTAAGAACAGGAGTCCTATCACTGTCACCCGTATTGCTTCGTTTTTTCTTTTCTCTCTTACCCTACTATGGTTTGGATCTGGTTTGAGTGTGTCCCCAGATGCCTTACATTTCTTCTGGAAGCTTGGTCCCCAGTATGGTTGAGAGGTGGAGTCTGGTAAAAGGTGGTTAGGTCATGGGCTGCCACCCAAGGAAGAGATTAATACAGGTCTGGTGACTGGATTTGTTCCCAGGGGAATGGGTTGTTACAAGGGAGTGTGGTGCCTCTTCTGACTCTCTCTTCCATAAGTGGCACTCACCCCTATCACACGTGCTGCCATAATGTCTGTCAGAACTGAGCATGGTACCATGCTCTTGAACTTCCGGAACTGTGAGCTAATTAAACCTATTTCTTGGGTATTTTTTTATAAGAATTAAAAATAGTCTAAAGCACCTATTCCTTCTCTTTGAAATATAGCAATTTTTAAAAAAGTCATACCCAAGGGCTGGGGTTGTGGCTCAGCGGTAGAGCACTCATTAGTACGTGAGAGGCCCTGAGTTTTATCCTCAGCACCACATAAAAATAAATAAATAAAATGAAGGTATGGTGTCCAACTACAACTAAAAAAATAAATATTAAAAAAAAAAAGTTGTACCCGACTTTTAGGGGAAAAAAAATATTTCTAAATGTGTCCCATAGCAGGCAGATTTTGATTGTCACTGTCTAGTCATATGCACATATATTTGGAAGAGAATGCAAACGTGGAACTAAGTGAAGCAGCTAGAAAGAGCACCACGGGCCTTTCTGAGGCATCTTAGAATCATAGAAGAGAAAGAATGTGAGGGGCAGAGGGTGGTCTTTGCCTGCCTTACCTCCTAGCTTCCCCCAGCCTTAGAGAATGTAGTAGTGTATGGGGACTAGATGCATAAACCCCATATAGGAGGGTGAACTAATGGATTCTGAAAAAGGAGTTGAAATTCTGAGACAAATATTTGAGCCACTTCTTCCTAATAGCTCTGGTAAATATAAAATAACTCCTAATACCTTTTAACGACTCCCATAGGAATAAAGCCATTTCTTTCTGCTACCAAAAGAATGTGGTCCAGGTATACAGCTTGGTATTTCAGGGCTTTGAGGCAATCTCCATAAATATTTTTCTCAAACTGAACAGCATGGCCCCACTAACACCTTGATTTTGACTTCTAACCTCTACACCTAGGGAAGAATAAATATCTGATGTTTTAAGTCACTCTGTGTACTTTGGCAGCCCTAAGAAACTAATAGGGTAGATATTCTATATTTGACTCTTAGCCTGCCTGGCAGCTAACATAAGAAAACAAGTCTGTTACATAATCCTCAGTGGGATTAAAAGGTTCCATTTATTCAAGGGATGCAGATCTTGACACTGAGACATCAGAGAAAGGTCTCCACTGGACCCTACAGAGAAAACACTGCAGGATGCAGCAGAAAATGGTGGTAAGTGCCATCACAGCACTACATCTGATAATTAATTTTATGCAACTATTTCCTACAAGGTGCCTCACCAAAAGCAGATGGCATGACACCATGGGAGGGCTTAGCAAAAGCACAACTAGGAAACAGATGAAAGAGGGGACATTTTATCAACTTATAGAAATAAAAAGAATTTGAAGGAGTACTATGGACAACTATGTACCATTAGATAATGTAAAGGAAATGTTGTTTATTTATTGTTAAATTAATGATGAAAGTTAGGAGAACTCCCACTACCAAGAGAAGAAAAATGTTTTCCCTGCTGAAACTTCAACAAGGAATGTGAGATGAAGAACAGTGATTAGATATTTGAGACACATTTTATAATTTCAATTTACAACTATAAGGAAGAAGTTTCTGATAACAGAATAAAACACAGGGAAAACAAGTTCCTTTTCTCTGGACTTCAAAAATAAATGAAAAACACATCTGGTTAGAATAATGAATGTGTAATGCCAGGAGTCCAAATTCCACCATGTTCCTGGTCTTGTTTAAATGCTGCCACACTGAAAAATATATAGCTGTTCTCAATTTAGTATGGCACTTGAATGTTTCCTCTTACATTGACTGTCCCTTTTTTCCTAGAGTTGCATTTGTCCTACCCTCTTACTTATTATTTTCTTGAGGGCAGGAATGGTCTTTTGAAATTCTAGACTCCTACTCAGGCTTAAAATACCACTTGGCAAGCCAGGTACAGGTGAAACTTTGTAATCCCAACTTCTTGGGAGGCTGAGGCAGGAGGCTTGCAAGTTCAAGGCCAGCCTCATCAACTTAGTAAGACCTTTTCACAAAATAAAAATAAAAAGGTCTGGAAAAGGGAGGGAGAGGGCAAGGGGGTTAAAAAAGGTGGGGGCCTGGAAAAGGGGTAAAGCTCAGAATTAGAGCATCCCTGTGTTCAATCCCTGCAGGGGGGAAAAAGGCACTTACTGAAAACTCTTCTGTAAACTAATGAAAAAAATCTTGTATTTCATTACATGGTCATTTTAAAGACAAATGGATTTTTAAGGCATTCAAAACATTAAAGCTGGGCGGGGGTTGTGGCTCAGCAGTAGAGGGCTCGCCTAGCACAGGTGAGGCCCTGGGTTTGATCCTCAGCGCCACATAAAAATAAATAAATAAAATAAAGGTATTGAAAAAAATGTTTAAAAACAAACAAAAAACATTAAAGCCTTGACTGGGGACATAGCTCACTTGCCTGACATGCAAAAATGGACCTACATTCAACTTCCAGCACTGAAAATAAAGTCTCTTGTTAAAAAGAGTTGCTAGATAAAACAAATTTAAAAAGTTGTTCACATAGTAAAACATGAATTAAATAGTTTTAACCTGATTCCTTTATTCTAGTTATGTCTACAGCCATAAGTATCATTTCAGTCAGATTAAAAAAAAATAGTAACCTAAAAGTTAACATTTACATTGCAAATTTCTCTCTTTAAAAGACACCCAACTAGTTTTTTCTTCTGAAATCATTCTTGGGATGGTAAGGAGAAATTCCATTAAATAGACTTTGCAACTCTAGTTTCTAGAAAGAATCAGGTTAAAAATATTAATTGAGGGTCTGGGGGTGCAGCTCAGTGGTAGAGCAGTCACTTAGCACTTAGCTTAGTATCTTGGGTTAGATCCATAGCATCAAAATGACAAAACAAACACAAACAACAAAAACTTGAACCAAAGCAGGACGGGTCAGTTGTATTACTGCACTCAGTAATTCTTGTTCTATTTTAAGATAATTATACATCTCTCTGCTCATTCTCACCTGACTTGCAAATATTCCTTATAGATGTATGGAAGTATGCTTTCTTCACCTTGGGCAGCAAGCCTGGTCATGTGATTTTGCTTTGGTAAATAAAATGCAAGCAGAATTCAGGCCCCCACAATGTTTAAGAGCAGCATGTGTCAGTTGTGTACAAGAGCTGATAGTTTCATCCAGGAACTTGGCAAGGCTCCTGTTAAATATGGCAGATTGAAATTGGCCATGGTGAGAGTATTTACACCATTGAAATAGCAAACATTACAAATCAGGACTTTCCCCTCTGCCCCAAAGTTGGTTTACCAGCACTCCAGTGAGCATGTTTCAAAAAGTTAATCTTTGACCTGGATCCTGGAATAAAGAAATTGGTAGAGTCGAGTCAAGCCTGCAATGTAACTGATGTAATTTTCTTCAGAAATAGAGCTTTATTATTATAAATCACTGAGTTGTAGGGGCTGTTTGTACCTGAGTATAAACTAGGCAAACTGGTACACCATGCTGGTGGTGGACGCCAAAGAGCTCTGCCTTTATCTGTCCAGACCTTGCTTGGAGGGGATTTCTTCTAACAACTTGTGACTTCACAGCCCAGAACCTGAAAGGATGAAAACTGCGCTCAGAGCTCCAGACAGGGAATCCAGGTCTTGGAAGGTTAACGCAAAGACATAAAATAGTAGTCACATTTTAAACTTCACTAAGCTGCTGCATCACTTAAAAACCCTGGCAAACACGTCTATCCTTCGTGGGCCTGGATGATTTTAAGAGTAACTCCCCCACCGCGTTCTCTTAAAGGCCACCGCTAGTCTCCGTCCTCCTTCTCACTCCCACACACTTGAATTGAGCGCTGTGTCTTTAAGGGGGAAGCGGAGGTTTCCGTTCGCGACAAAATGTCTGCGAGGAGCCTGGAGGGGATGGGCGATCAGGACTCGCCACCCGCAGGGGACTCCGGCCCGTGTCGCGGGCCTCGCGGTGAGTGTGGGCCTGGTATCCCGCGAGCCGCGCCGGGGCCAGCGGCCGGGGCGTGGCAGGCTGCATCGGGAAGGTCGGGGCCGCGCGGGGTTGCTGCGACGAGAACCCGAACGTCGCGGCCACCCGCCAGGGATCGCGGGGACCACGGGTACGCCTGTTGGCCGCAGACGCCCAGCCCGCGCATCAACAGGCTGCGCTGTGCAGGGGTGCTGGGCGTGCCCTGCGCTATTGTCGTTATTGCAGAAGATGCATTGGATGCGGGGTTCTGCGTAGAGGCCGGGCTTGCTTGCTTTCCATCACCTCCTTTTTTCACCTTCTTACAGACTCTCTTCAACAAACTTTTTCGAAATATCGAAAACCATCACCACTTTCCTACTGTCTCTTTATAAAGTTTTGCTTTTATTGTTGCAGTGAGACTGTTAACAGCGCTAAGGGCTGGGCGCCCTGCAGTGGGCCCTTTCTTTAATTGGGACTTTTGTTAATGTGTCCCACCTGTGGAGAGAGAACCACAATGCCAGCCAGATGCTCAAACTAGAGTCCCCACCCCCACTCCTTCTGCTGTGGTCTTCAAACAAAAGGATTTCCTGATCTTTTGGGAGTTATACCAGAGCAGTTAGCTGTAAATACTTTGCTGTAAATACTGTAAATACAGTAGCCAAAAGTGCAAAGCTTTACCAACCAGTGTTTTCTCCACTCCTAGAAAGAAAAAAAAAAAAAAGTATTTGCAACCAATTGGACTTCCAAATAGCCCAAATTACAAAGTTAAGGTGTTTAAGAGCAGCTGTTGCAGAATTGCTTGATAAGTTGACATAATTAGAGCCATTATTTGCTATATATTTTATTCATATTAGTAGTTTTTCTGGCCAAAAAGTAGTTCAAGGCAACTGGCAACAGAAAGCATACAATATGTAAAAATGCTAAGAGCCCAAACTGGTTCTCAATTTAAAAATCTTTTTGTGAGTTACAAAGGCCTTCGAAGTAGGGCACCTTTAAATCCCTCTAATTCATATTAAATTATGCATTTCTACAAGATAAATGAATGGCCACCTTTCCTTTTAGAACCTTATGTATGAAATAAAGTAATGCAGATCTGAAATAAAGGTCCACTTTATAGCAGAATGTTTTACAATTTTCATTTTTAAAAATGCATTACTAGAGAGAGAATGCTCCATTGCCTTTTAGCTAATGGTAGAAAGATCTAAGAATTTGGCTTATGACATTTAGGGCACATCTCTGATTCACCAGATAATTAGCTGTGGGTCCAGTAAATTTTTTCAATCCACAAATAACCTTTTTCTAAATGTTTTTACACTTAACTCTTTATTCCCCAACCTAGGTATTCACATTTTACAGTTTAGAGTTATTTTTACTTGCTTTTGAAAGCTGCAAGCCTCATAATTGCAAACTAATTTTTCTAATTGTCTGGATTTGTTTATAGATACATGAATACATGGCAGCAACCTAATAGGTCAACAGAGATGAACAGATAACAATGAACTGTGATTTCCTGACATTTCAGTAGCCAAAGCTAATTATTTCTTTTACTTATTGTGTTCTACTTTGGTTTGTCACTGGTGGATGGAATAAATGAAAATCTTTCTTAGTGTTTTCACACAGTCTGTATAAATTTCACATTAGTGTGGACTTCTCACCTAATCCAGAGCTCAACCAAAGTATATTTGTGTTTCTCCCTGACTAATCCAACTAAAGTGATTAGCCATGACTGCAGAAGGACAAATGGAGCTATAATTCAGTTGTTCTTTTGAGAACATTATTTGGTTCTTTGGTCTTTAGCATGCTTAATATTTTTTATGGGTATAAGCATAAATATATAAAATAAAATTAGCTTTCATAGGGAGTTCATAGGATGACTACACATATTAAAGCAATGTGGGTCTGAGATAAATGTCTTCTTAAGAAAAGAATGCTTTACAATTTATATTTTTTAAAATGCATTAATAAGGGACGGGGATATGTGTAGTTTAGTGATAGAAGACCCTGGGTTCAATCACCAGAACTAAAAAACAAAGACCTTGAAAGTCTCTGCCTTTTAGCTAATGACAGAAATATCTGTTTGATTTATAATAATATTTATATAATATTTACAAAATTGAGCTCTTTTTTTCAATCTCTACATTGGTATTCAGGGAGATCATACTGAGGCTCTCAAGCTTTAACCTGATAGATTATTAGAACTTCTTCAGGATCAGACTCAAATGCAGAGATATTAGTGTGAATTTTTTGTTTTCACAGTCTTAGACATCATATCTTCCAGAGGATGGATGCTCAAAATAAAATTCAGCATAAGAGTGTTTTAGAGGCATGGTACCAATAATAACACCCTCTCCCTTTCCAGAAAATATCTAAAATATACATTTGTATCATGAGGATTCCCCCCATTGAAGACCACAAAAATTTCCATTGTTGAATTTGTTTCATGCTGGCAGTACTTTTATGTAGCTTCAAGATATTTTATTCTTTAGTTATACACTAAAGCATTGAAATTTTATTGGCATCAATCACTAATGGTAATAACAGTAATGGGTTTTGTTGGTACTGGGCTTTGGTGGTAGATAACACAGTGAATTTTATACCCAGTGGGGAAGGGCAGAGAAGAGATGCTGAGCACTATCAAGGTTAGTATGAGACAACAAGGCCTTGGTGCCAAGGAGCTGCCCCTTGCCTTCCCCTTCTGCTTTGTGAACATGGTATGATGGAATTCATCCTAATGAGTGAATACTGATCTGATCTTTATCAGAATATCAGAATTATTGTTGAAAACATTTTTTTTCCCCCACCAGGTGGTGAGCTTCCTGAAGGCAGAGAATACATGATGTTGTTGAAATGCTCGGCAGCAGGCAGGCGCATTTGACCCTGGGCAGGTGCACAGTGAGCATTTGAACAGAGCTGGGTGGAATGAATGAATGTAAGCAAAGTAATAACATTTGTTGGCACCTTCGTAGTTGTTTTAAAAAATGTTTAAGGAGGGCTGGGGATGTGGCTCAAGCAGTAGCGCGCTCGCTTGGCATGCGTGCGGCCCGGGTTCTATCCTCAGCACCACATACAAACAAAGATGTTGTGTCCACCGAGAACTAAAAAATAAATATTAAAATTCTCTCTCTCTCTCTCTCTCTCTCTCTCTNTCTCTCTCTCTCTCTCTCTCTCTCTCTCTCTCTCTGTTTAAAATAAAATTCTCTCTCTCTCTCTCTCTCTCTAAAAAAAAATGTTTAAGGAAATATTAAGGGAGCTCTAATTTTCCATTATTAGCTAATCACACAAAAAAATGCCCATGTTTTGTTATTGAGTCCTTGGAAAGGGACAAGTACATATCACAGGCTTCAGCTAACTAAACCCTTCCCATTATCTCCTTTGGCCTAAGTGATGGGCAACTTATTTTACATGAAAGTCAGTTTAGAAGTAAAAATAAATTTGGAGAATGAAGGCCTTGGATTTGTTATTCTTTTTTATTTGCTTTTTGTATTAAGAAAGTTCTGAGGGAAATCCTCCAGATTTAGACAGAATGTCCAACAGAAAAACAGATTTTAGCCACTAAAATTGCAATGTGGGTATGTCTAAACAGTAAATACTGGTAGCTTCTTTGTTGTTCATGCCTTAAATTTATATAACACTGAGGAGTCTAGCAGTGAGATCATTTGCATTATCTGATTTTAGTCACTTGTTTTTTAAATTTTTTGTTGTTGATGGACCTTTTCATTCATTTATTTATATGCAGTGCTGAGAATCGAACCATGAACCACTGAGCAGTGATGCAAGACCTAGCCACTTGTTTAATGGCAGATAATCTTTTCAGTTTCCTTGACACGTGGGGAGATTGAGACTCAATTAGCTGTGCTCCATAGGGCCAGGTTAATTTCATTGAAAACAGCCAAGGCAATGAATGAGGTGTGCTGCTCTCTCCTTGTGTCCTGTACCTCCTGTGGATATAGAATCTCCTTCTGCTTAGGCAGGGCACTGACACTAAGCATCTCCACACACTGAGTTTCCTCTGGGATAGATGGCAGCATTCTATGCATGTAGATCTTCCAAGAAGCCAGCAATGGGCTTCCCAATGAGACTGGGAAGTCCCCTCCAGCTTCCATAGGTAAGGGTGGCCTATCTATGGTTTACATTATGAGGTGTCCCCCAAAAGCTCAGGTATGAGAAATACTAGAACATTTAGAAGTGAAATGATTGGGTTATGAGAGCCTTAACTTAATCAGTGCATTAATCCACTGATGGGGATTAACTGGGTGGTAATTCTAGGCTGGTAGTATGTGGAGGAGGTGGGTCATTGGGGTTGTGCCTTTGGGGTATATATTTTGCATCTGGTGAGTAGAGTCCCTCTCTGCTTCCTGTTAGTTATGTCCTGAGCCACATTCCTCTACCAGACTCTTCCACCATAATTTTCTGCCACATCTTGGGCCCAGAGCAATGGAGCCAGCCATCTGAGGACTGAGACCTCTGAAGCCACGAGCCCCAAGTAAATTTTTCCCTCTCTAAAATTGTTTTTGTTGAGGCTTTTTTGTCACAGTGGCAAAACAGCTAACTAAAACACCTTGCCTGAGCTCATATGCCTGAGGAGCCAAGCATTGTTTTATAGTTACTTTTTATTTATATATAGATCCTGCCATACACACACACACACACACACACACACACACTGCCTAAAAGTATGTATATGATCATATGCTTAAGTACCTTTTTTTCTTTTGCTTTTGTGTCTCCCTCTTCCTCTTTTCCCTCCTTTCATATTAGCTACCACCA